CTTAATAAAAAATACATTATTAAAAATAAAATAAAAAATTATACAAAATGAATCTAAAAAAATAAATAAATAAGTTCCTGGACGACTTTGCATTCGAACAGGTCGGAGCCTGAGAGGCACTCTTTCCGGACAGAGATGAGTCAGCGGCAGAGGCGCTGAGGCCAGGAGGCCCGCGGAGACCTGGGCTGAGCCTGCAGCGGGGCGGATGGGCGGACGGGGCAGGGAACAGCGTCCCGCGTGAGGCACTGGTGCTCGCCCAGGCGGGGCCCAGCTCACAACTGGCAGAACAGCCCTTCCTGGCCGGGCCTGAAACGCTCCTCCTTGGCAGAATCAGCGTTGCCACTTCCCACCGTGTTACCTTCGCTGGGCACCACCGCCCTCCTTGGTTTTAGGAAGAAAACGGCGCTGAGAGTTCCCCCTCAGAGTCAGCCCAGCACACGCCTCTCTCTGTCCTCATCCTCCGCCTTGTGGGCAGTCAGAGCAGTTCACCACCGAACACGGGGGCACGCAGAGACGTAGAGAGAAAAGCTAAGTCACCGGAATCCCTCCGGTGACATGTTTTGACATCTCTTTTGTCTTTTTTTCAGGGGTTTGTTTCTCATAATTGCAACCATGATGGATATATATAGTCTGACATAATGCTTTGTGGTTTCTCACTTCTTTCATGAGTATTTTCCATTTCATTAAAAACTCTTTGACATTTTATCTCACACTATTTGATTCACAAAGTTTCTCGATGGTTTAAAGGAGTGATCTGCAAACTCATTAGTCCACAGAGCCAAATATCAACAGTACAACGATTGACATTTCTTTTGAGAGCCAAATTTTTTCAACTTAAACTTCTTCTAATGCCACTTCTTCAAAATAAACTCGTCCAGGCCAGGGTATTTTGTGGAAGAGCCACACTCAAGCGGGCAAAGAGCCACATGTGGCTCGCAAGCCGAAGTTTGCCGACCACGAGTTAAAGATAAAGACAACATGTTTACACGATGGGAACTGTTTCTACCCATTCGGCCAGGCCCTGGGGCTGCTGCCTGACTCACAGGCCCGTCCAGGAGCTCCCAGCTCTGCCAGCCTTGCTGAGTTCTCTACTCAGCCTCTACTCCCAGGAAAAAGCCAGAAAAACAGTAACAACTCAGACGTCTATGATGACTTTCCGTTTTACTAACACAGCATTCCCTCTGGGGGTCTCAGATTCCCTGTCCCAGCCCCCGGGGCAAATGACTCCAAACTCTCTTAAGATGGGGACAATATGTGATGGGAATGCTGCCCCACGTTCTTTTTTGCTATATACTTCCATTGGTTTTTAGAGAGGAAGGGAGAAAGAGAAACAATGTGAGAGCAGACCATCCATCAGCTGCCTCCTGCACGCCCCCTGCTGGGGGGGGATTGAGCCTGCAACCTGGGCAAGTGCCCTGACCAGGAATCTACCAGTAACCTTTTGGTGCACAGGATGGCGCAAAAATGCATAACCCATGGACACACACAATAGTAAGGTGAGCCAAAACCGGTATGGCTCAGTGAATAGAGCATCGGCCTGAGCACTGAAGGGTCCCGGGTTCGATTCCAGGCAAGGGCATGTATCTTGGTTGCGGGCACATCCCCGGTACAGGGTGTGCAAGAGGCAGCTGATCGATGTGTCTCTCTGGTCGATGTTTCTGACTCTCTATCCCTCTCCCTTCCTCTCTGTAAAAAAATCAATAAAATATATATATTTTTTTAAATAGTGAGGTGAAGGCCGGAGGGGAGGGGAAGTGCGGTGTAGGGCAGAGGGGGGTCAATGGAGAGAAAGGGGGACATCTGTAATACTTTCAACAATAGAGATAAAATGTTTAAAAGAAAGATACTGTGATAGACTCCCAGCCAAGACAGTCCCCTAGCCTGGCAAGGAGACCGGCAGGGGTGTAACTACACCGCGGGCAGGGGGTGTGACTCCAGGAAGTGGGGGGGGGAGTGCTGGGGGGGGAGCGAGGGGGGGGGGTGCATGAGGCAAGCTAGCCTAGTGGGGTTAGCTGTTTGGAGCCTGGTGTTGTGAGGATGAGATAAGTGAGAGTACTCGGTTAGCAACACAGAGCAAGCTCTCAGTCTCTCTGCCCTTCAGCTCGGCCCTGGCAGGTGCCAGCTTGCTCTTGTCCACCGGAAGCCAGGGCCCTCCCGCCCTCCTCGCCCTACCCCACCCCCACCCCCACCCTCTCGGCCGCCAATCCTCGGGATCCCAGGTCTACAAGGGGAAGCTGAGTGCTGGAAGGACCAACTTCTCGGTTCCCATTTCACCTCCCTACTTCCCCAGCCACCGTCCAACAAGGAACACGCTGTTGGGCAGTTTTCCACACACTGGCCCTCATGGCTGCCTCCGGCTCAGGGGCCTGTCTCTCCCTCAGCCAGCCCTGGGCAGGGTCACAGGGTCATCTCCCTCAGGGCACAACTCTCTGGGGGCCGTGAAGAGGAAGTTTTCTACGGAGCTCCCACAAAGAGGAGCAAAGGAGCGAGGGCGCGGCTGAGGCGCTGTGAACCCCACGCCTGGGAGCAGGCGGGGATACATGCTCCTGCGCACACACACGCGCACACGCGCGCGCGCACACACACACAAACACACACACACACACACACACACACACACACACACGCTCCTGGCCGGGGTGGCTCAGTGGAGGAGTCCCCACAACGGTCACCTCCACCCCGGCCTCCTCCCTGCCTTCACTCGGTCAGACGGGCGTCCAAGCTGTGGGCTCCGTTCTCTCCCCCAGCCGTCTCCTCACCCATCTTTGCACATTTGGTCCACCTTGCTGTCTGCTTCTCAGGCTCCCCATTTCCTCAGAAAGTCCCAGCCTTCCCCCGACACCCATGACGGGGCTCAGGCCGAGGGGCGCACAGTGCAAGGAGGTGCCGGGGTTCAGAGAGCGTAAGAATTGGCAATGCCTCTGAGAGCACCGAAGGGTGAAGTGGGGGCAGGGCACTGGGTGATGAGGAGGGTGGCACAGGCCAGGGGAGAAGGGCAGGGCCCCTCAGATGCTGCGTCAGAGACCGGACTTTCTCCTCTAAGCACCGAGGAGTTGCTGAAAGTGTTGAGCCACTGAGTCACAGGACCTCCTTTGTGTTTTCCGAAAGATCTGACCTTCAAGACTGAAGGCCGGGAGGCAGCCAGAAGGTCACTGCCGCCGAGACCGGGTCACCTGTCTCCACAGAGACCTCATGCGAAGGAGTCGAGTGCAATCGCTTTATTAACGCTGCTGGATTTCACACCACGTACTTTATTGTTTTATTTTTGAGCATGAAGAAGCCTCACTAACCCTTTCTCCTGCGTCCCGGACCAGGGCCCAGCAGGCTTCCTCCGAGGGGCCCAGCCAGGAGTGCCCACCAGCCAGGTCCCGAGGCCTCTTACCGACCTCAGCCCTCCCTGGCCCATCTCTAGTTCCATCACCATCACCCAAGCAAGTCCCACTTTGACCAGTTGCCAGGGGCCCCAGGCCTGTCACACACCAACAGGAGGTGGTCCCAGGCCGGCATCTCCCCGGGACAGAACCCAGCAGCCTCCAGGCCCACCTGCCGAGCCCCCAAAGGCCCTCGGCCTCAGGGTCACCCGAAGCCCAGAAAGCGGGTCTTGGAGCTAAAACCAAGGAAGGTGTGAACCAGCGGTGAGTGCGGGGCCAGCTCAGAGGGACGGCGCCCTCTATCCCCCCGCAGCAGGCCCAGCGGGGAGCGGGGCAGCATCAGCCTGTTCTCTTGGCTGACAACTGGGGGAGCGAGGACCTCCTAGTCGCAGACACTCAGTGAGCTTACTCCGCGGGAAAGCTCGGTGGGCAGGGCGAGGGCGGTTTTTGACTGTGGAGGACTGTTTGGGCTTCCTCTGCCTGGCGGCTGATAGGCCTGACCAGTGACTGAGGTGGACGACGGGCTGAGCAGTCGGTGCCCAGGCGCTTCTCGCGGGCTCGGTGCCACCTGGGACTGGTCAGAAAGGACCCGCCTGGGACGGGGCAGCAGCAGTTCTCCTGGGGAACCGTGAGCACCGTGAGAAACAGGCATCCCGCCCTGCTCGCCACGGTGGCCGTGAGAAAGGAATCCCGCTCTGCTCGCCACGGTGGCCATGCTCCCACTGAAGAGGGCGCTTCTTCCCGGGCCAGAGCGCCCCGGGGAGGCGGCCTCCTCCCGTGTGGAGCTGCTGTCCTCATGGGAAGGTGAGCAGCTTCGCCCAGAGACCAGCCACCAGCTTCTGAGGCCTCCGCAGACCTCCAGCCTGCCCGCCGTGAACTGCCCGCCCGGCACTGCCCTGGGCTCTCTCCCCTGTCACCAGCCCCGTGAAGACCCCCGTCCTCCCGCAGACCTGTCTGTAAGCTGCCCTTCTGCCTCCTTTCCTCTGTGCTTTCACTACAGAAAAGCGGCTGGGAAGGGGCAGGGGGAAGCAGGTTTCTGGCTGGCCTGCTGCTCCCCGTGCTGCTGGCAGGACCGGAGTCCACGCTCCTGTATGGTTCCACCCTGTCCCTGCTTCACTGGCTGGAGCAGTGACAGGCAGCACGGAGCCCTCTCCCCGTTACACGCCCAGCCTACTGAGCCACACACTCAGCCGCCTGTGCTTGCCCCGCCGCTGCTGCTGCTCTGGAAGGGTGGCTTTGGCCTCTCCAGCTGGAGACCCCCAACGGCCTGGCGGGCGGGCCTGGCGGGTGGGCCTGGAAGATGGGTCTGGCGGGGGGGACCTGGCGGGAGGGCCTGGCGGGGGGACCTGGAGGGTGGGCCTGGCGGGGGTACCTGGCAGGTGGGCCTGCTCCCCATCGGGAGGAGGGAGGGGAGCTGCAGACCGCCCCCTCTCCCCCAGCGCTCTGCTCCTCCCCTCCCCAGGCTCCTGGCCCCTTGCCCTCCCCCCTCAACCTCAGCTCTTCCTGGAACCTGCCTCTCCTGGTCCCCAAACTGGGGTTCCCGCTGCCCTGCCTAGACCCCGCCCACACGGCCCCCCATTCACCCCTGAGACTGAGTCCCCCCCTCCCCCGCCCCGCCCCGCCCGGCGTTCAGGCCTCGGGGCCCTCGGGCCCCACCAGCAGCAGCGGCTGCGCGTTGCGGCCCTTGTCGTGCCAGCACACGTCGAAGAAGGGGAACACGGGCCCGGGCAGGCGCTCGCGGAAGGCGAAGAGCGGCTCCAGCGCGTCGGGGTCGCTGGCGTCGTAGAAGGCGAGGACGCCGTCGGCGAAGCTCAGGTACAGCCCGACGCGCGCCGGCCGCGGCTCCCGGGGCGGCAGCGCGCGCGGCTCCTTCGCCTCCACGTGCGCCTCCAGCACCTTCCCGTCCCGCTGGCCCAGCAGCCACAGCCCCTGCGACGGCACCGCCTGCAGCCGCCCGCGCCGGCCCGCCTGCGCCGCCATCACGCCCAGCGCCCAGCGCGGCTTGTCGCCCACCTGCACCTCCCAGTAGTGCTCGCCCTCCGCCAGCCGCTGCCGCGCCAGCACCGCCACCGCCTTGTCGAACCGGCGCGGGTCCTCGGCGGCCGGCGGCGCCTTCTGCTCCGCGCAGTGCGCGCGGCGGCCGCAGGGGGACAGCACCAGGCTGGGGTGCGCCGTGCTGGGGTCGAAGGTCAGCTCCGTCACTGCGGAGAGAGGCAGCCCGTTACCCCCGGAGCCTCCCCCGTCCACCGATGGGCGGCCCGGCTCCTCTCCTCCGGGCCTCGGGGTGGGGTGGGGGCGAACCCCTCTGAGGACTGCCTCTCTGAGCTGCAGGTCGCTCACTGTAAGCGGAGGCCACAGGTGTGGGGGTCAGACTGGTACAAGGCAGGCAGCACCACCCCGGTCGCAGGGAGGAGACAGTCAGGAAGCCCGGTCCGGCGCCCCTGTCCCACCACCACCCCCGCCTCAGTCAGTCTGGGCCTTAGTCTCCTCCCGGATAAAACCGAGATCCCCGCATCCCCACGTGTGCATGCCCTGGAGCTCAGCTCCTGGGGAGGGGAGGCTGAGCCTACGGGCTGCCAGAGCCAGGGGCTGCCCAGGGTTCCAGCCCTGCAGACCCCCAGGCCCCAATGAGCAGGGGTTACCCCCTCCACTGTCCACAGGGGCAGGGTCTGGCCAAGGAGCACTCAGGGTTCCAACCCAGGCCCAGCAGCTGCACCTTCCTGTAAGCAGCACCCTCCCCGTCAGGCACCCACCTGTAAGTCCCACGCCCTCAGGGGTCCCTCTCTTAGCACAGGTACTAGGATGCAGGGATACCCTAGAGCAGGCATGTCAGACTCACGGCCCCACAGGCCACACGTGGCCCACAACACACATTTTTGTGGCCTCGCCAATATAACGGTATGTAAGAAACATTTTAATAAAAATTTTGTGACTTAATTTTTACACAATCCCGTTATACATAATCTATATATACAAAAGGCTAATGTGCTAAGTGTCCCATGGTAAGAGTAATGATGTCACATAGCAACTCCTGGCTTCCTCTCCCTAGCAACTAGCCTCTTTGCAGTTTTTCCAGCCCAGAAACACAACTTGCTTTACAGCCAGGTGCAAACACTTCACAGTTTAACCAAATGTCTGTGAAACGTTTTGAGGCGCCTCCTCTCATTTGATCCTCACAGAAGTCCTGGAGTAGGTAGCTAGGAGACTCGGTGGAGTCCTGTTTTCTTTTCATTAGCCAGAAAATGGAGATTTAGAAAGCTTAGAAACTTGACCCGACTGAAAAGAAGTAAGAAATGGTGGACCTTGAAAATGACCTCAGGTTTTCCCACTGCAGGATCTCTCCACATCATTCCTCTGCAGAATATAGTCAAACGCTGCTGTGGTTAAATATTTTACCCTTTGTTCTCCCTGCAGGACTACAATAACGATCTGCTTCGCGTTGATATTTACTGCTGTGACCCTGAAAGAGAAGTTGGGTGCTTCCCTGGGCTGGGACAAGTTTAGCTGAATCAGAAAGCAGGTCTAGTAGGCTCGTTTATTCTCTATCTATAATAGGCTAAGTTGACTTGCAGATGCACGATAGATATAAAGCTCTCGCTGGCACTTCTATTATAGAGAAATGGTGAGTAGCAATATTAAAATATTTCGCCCTAACTGGTTTGGCTCAGTGGATAGGGTATTGGCCTGGGGACTCAGGGTCCCAGGTTTGATTCTGGTCAAGAGCATAGACCTTGGTTGCAGGCACATATGTAGTAGGGAGTGTGCAGGAGGAGGCTGATCAATGTTTCTAACTCTCTATCCCTCTCCCTTCCTCTCTGTAAAAAAATCAATAAAATATATATTTTTAATTAAAATATTTCTTCCAATTAATTTCCTTTCTATGTGCATGAATTCGTGCACTGGGCTACTAGTTATTTTTTTATAATATATTTTATTGATTTTGTACAGAGAGGAAGGGAGAGAGATAGTTAGAAACATCGATGAGAGAGAGTCATCGATCAGCTGCCTCTTGCACACCCCGCACTGGGGACATGCCCGCAACCAAGGTACATGCCCTTGACCGGAATCAAACCCGGGACCCTTCAGTCCCCAAGCCAACGCTCTATCCATTGAGCCAAACCAGTTTCGGCCTACTAGTTGTTAATAATGAACTACAATGTTCACTAATGACTGATCACTATAATTGTGTTGCATTCATTTCCCTTTACGCCTTACACGCAGCCGCTCCATTCCTCTCCACTAATACTAGCATCGACTATTTTAGCAGCCAATTGCCACATCATTAGTTTTGTACTGACTTGTTTGATGTGCACAACAGGAAATGTTTCACTTTCGGAGAACACGAAAAATAGGCTTATTTGCATTATGCTTATTACCTTGTGCAGTTATTCAGTGTCTGGTACGTTTAATGGTTAAGAAAAATATTATTAAAATGTTCTATGATTTTATGTTCACAATGACCCATTTATTCCAGTTCTTTGTATTCAGCATCTCTATGGAAATAAACCTACGTTTCTATGAAAACTGAAGCTTTTGCTTCTTTGCGGCCACATAAACCTTATTTATTTGGCCTGTGTTAGCCTTGGAGTTTGACATGCTTGCCCTAGAGTGCAGAGGCAGAGGGGCAATGGCGCCTTCTGTGACCTTCCTCGCTGAGACCGGAGGCCTCTGTGTGTGGCTGCGGCCTCCCCACAACCACATGTCACAAACAACATGCCTCCCGGTACCTGGCATGAGAGCACGGAGCATCTTCCTCCACACCTGGAACTTGAAGTCATCTGAGATGACAGGCAGCTGGATGTCCAGACGGGCAGGCGGGGGGGACTCTGCCAGGATCTTCTGCAGCCTGAGGGTGAGAAGTGTCTATGAGGGGACTTCCGGAGGAGGCAGGGGTGAGGCAAGAAGCAGTGCCCAGAGGAGAGGACAGGACTGTGGAGTCCCAGGACCTCTCCACATGCCTCTGCTGCCTTTCCCATCTGGAGAGATGAAAAGTTCTGGCCCCGGCCGGTGGCTCATTCATTTGGAGCATTGTCCCATTCACCAAAAGGTTTCAGGTTCGATCCCCGAGTCAGGGCCAGCGCAGGAGGCAACCAACTGATATTTCTTTCTCATATCGATGTGTTTCTCTCCCCCCCACACCCCCTTCTCTCTCTGCAATCAGTAAACATATCCTTGGGTGGTAATTTTAAGATGAAAAGTTCTGGAGATGGATGGTGATGAGGTTGCATAACAACGTGAATGTACATAATGATACTGAACGGAAAGTGTGCACTGAAAATGGTTTACCGCTGGGGTGGCTCAGTGGGTGAGCATCCACCCATGCACTGGTTTGATTCCCCGTCAGGCACATGCCCAGGTTGTGGGCTCAATCGCCAGTAGGGGGCGTGCAGAAGGCAGGCTATCCATGTCTCTCTCTCATCCATGATTCTGTAGCTCTCTCCCTCTCTCTCTTCCCATCTCTAAAATCAATAAAAACATATATTTTTAAATGGTCAATTTTATTCTGTGTACATTTTACCACAAAATGTTTAGGTCTTTTGTTGGGATAAGGTCCAAGGCCCTCAGCGCTTCCGTTTGCCCGCCTGCCACACCAGCACACCTTCTCTCCCTCTTGCCTTCTCTCAGGGCTCTTCCCCCAGCTCCTGACCTGCTAACTCCAGCCCGTTCCTCCAGCATGCAACTCTGACGGCCACCCGGCCTCCCCTTTCTCTCCCCCGCCTCCCTCTTCTCTCCCCTGACCCCCACCCCCTCCTCTCTCCGACCTCCCCCTTCTCTCCCGACAGCAGGAGCGCAGCACTGAGCACAGCGATGCCTACGTCCCCGCCCCCTCTGTCTGGGGGGTTCCTAGGAAGGACCAGGTCACGTTCATTTCTATGTTCAAAGCCAAGTGCAGGGCGAGTGCAGAGGGCTGAGGAGAGCCGCAGGCACATGGGGAGGAGGGTGAGCCAGCCAGTGCCCCTGAAGACCAGGGCAGGCTGGGGCAGGGGCGGGGCAGGGTGGCCTCACCTGCTGGTCACCAGGCAGAATTTCTGGAGAGAGAAGAAGAAAACGGCGGTGAGGCGGGGAGGAGAGACTCGGGACACGACTGGGGATGGGTCGGATGGACCAGGAATGCTGAGTGCGGGGCCAGGAAACGTCAGGAAAGTCCAAAGAAACCCAGAATTCAAGGCACCCTAGCCCTTTAGCTGTGTGAATCAGAAAAGGGTACCCCTTCCTCAAGAAACAGCACTCTGCGGTGGAAGACTGTCCCAAGAGATAAACAAACCCACAGCGACTGTTACGTGAATGGTCCCCCTAGAGAGAGTGCCAGCAGCAGGCTCCCCGCCTGCCTGTGCAGCCCTGGCTGCTCCCTGCCCCTCCGGCCTCGGGGTGCCTGCCCCTCCGGGCCTCCGGGTGCCTGCCCCTCAGGGTGCCTGCCCCTCCGGGCCTCTGGGTCCTGCCCCTCCGGGTCCCTGCCCCTCCGGGCCTCGGGGTGCCTGCCCGGCCTCGCGGTGAGCTCTCTGGGCCTGGACCCGGCGAGGGACAGAGGAGGGCGGTCCGGTGCTCACCATGAGGAACTCGGTCTGCGGCTTGTCGGCCACCTCCTCCAGCACCTTCTCCATCTGCCGCAGTTGCTCCAGGTACGAGTTCAGGCCCCCCAGCTCCTTCCGCAGGGCGGCCCCCGCCTTGGCCCGCACCTGCTCAGCCTCCTGGTCCAGGGAGCTCTCCAGCTCGTCCAGGAACAGCCGCATCTTGCCCAGCTGCTCCCCTACGGCCCCCCGGAACTGGCGCACAGTCTCCTGCGGACAGAGGGCAAAGGCGCTGGGCGGGGGGAGCCTGCCTGACCCCCGCCCTGGCCCTGCCTGACCCCCTGACCCCCGCCCCGGGCCCTGCTGACCCCGCCCCGGCCCTGCTGACCCCGCCCCGGGCCCTGCTGACCCCGCCCCGGGCCCTGATGACCCCGCCCCGGCCCTGATGACCCCGCCCCGGCCCTGATGACCCCGCCCCGGCCCTGATGACCCCGCCCCGGCCCTGATGACCCCGCCCCGGCCCTGATGACTCCGCCCCGGCCCTGCTGACCCCGCCCCGGCCCTGATGACCCCGCCCCGGGCCATGATGACCCCGCCCCGGGCCATGATGACCCCGCCCCGGCCCTGATGACCCCGCCCCGGGCCTGCCAGCAGAGCCCCACCTCCACCTCCACCAGCTGCTGCTCCAGCGCCGCTGCGCTCTTCTCCTTGCGCGCACACGCCTCCTGCAGCTGCAGCTGCTGCTGGGGGAGCTGGGTCTGGGGGGCGGAGGGGTGACAGGGTGGTCCTGGGGGCGCCTGAGAGCTGGTCTGCCCCCCAGGGAGCCGGGCGAGGAGAGCGCCGGGCTGATGTAGGGGGCTAAGACCACGCAGAAGCCCTGGGACCCCAGTCCTGAGGCCGAAGCCAGGGAAGCTGCGCCAGGGACCCCGGCCACTGCGTGCCCCCAGACCGCACCCCCGCCAATAAAGAATGCATGAGAGACTCCCTGGCTGTGTGGGCGCCTCCCCTCGGTGACTGGCCTCGCGGGGGTGGGGGGGGGCCTTTCTGGGCACCAGGGGACCGCAGGCCTCTGGGGCCACACCCGTGCGTGGGCGCCGGGCGCTCAGGTCTGACAGCTCCAGCCGGCGGCGCACCCCGACCTGACCCGGTGCCAATGGCCTGTGCACCAGCCGCGGGCCCGGCGCGCCCGGATCGGCCAGGTCTGCGCCAGCCTGTCCGGCCGGCCGCCCTGACGCCGCCTCCCAGCCTCCCTCCGCCGCCCACCCCCAGCTCCTCGCCCCGGGGTCCCCGCCCTGCCCTCCCGCGCCCCCCCCCCGCCAACACCCGGCGGGCGCCCTGCCCCCTCCCACCGTCCTCCCCGGCCGCCGGCCGCCGGGCGCACCTGGAGGCGCGCGTGGGCCTCGGCGGCGGGCAGCAGGCGGTGGCCGCGGTGCGCGCCCAGCGAGGCGCACACGCCGCACACGAGCGCGCGGTCCTGCTCGCAGTAGACGCTGAGCGGGTCCAGATGCTCCTCGCAGTGGCCCTGCGGCACCTGCGCCAGCCGCTCGACCAGGCGCGCCAGCTGCAGGTTGGTGCTGAGCGCCTGCGGCCGCGTGGGCGCCTGGCAGGTGGGGCAGGGCGCCGTGCCGTCCGCCTCCCCGGCCGCGCGGGCCAGGCAGGCGCGGCAGAAGCTGTGGCCGCACTCCGCCGTCACCGGCGCGTCGAACAGCTTCAGGCACAGAGGGCAGGACAGCTCCTGGCGCAGCAGGCCCGGCGCGGCCGCCATGGCGGGCCTGGCACAGGAGAGGTCCGTCAGGGAGGTCAGCCCGGAAACAGGCCCATCAGGAGCTGCCTCACTCCCAGATCCCAAACACAAGCCCGGGTTCCAAACAGTCCTACCCACTGTCTTTCCCTGGCTCAGCCCCAGATTCTCCAAAGCCCCATGCCGACCCTCCTGTCCTCCCGCCCCAGGGCTCCGGCCCTCCCTTCCCACTACCCAGGCCCACAGGATTCGGGGACTCACAGGGCTGGTCGGAGATCACAGGCAAAAAGAGACTCCCGGGAGGCTCAGCCTGAGCGCTGGGGTCAGGGAGTTGTCCGAAGGTAGGTCAGAGGCAAGCGACTGGCTCGGAGCAGGGACGGGCCCTGGCACGCACGGGGCAGCTAGCAGTGGGCACCACAGCTGATGGGCAGCGGTGACTGGCAGAGGGATCCTCCCTGCTGGGCTCTGGCCCCAGGACTATATTTAGCTGCTTCCTATCATTTCTGGAAACCATTCTAAAAGTGAAGGCTGAGTGGTCAGGGAACAAGCTGCACATGTCAAGGCCACCTGTCCTGGCCCATCCACTGTCCCCTCTGCTGCCCAGTCTGAAGCCAGTGCTCGGAGCCAGCAGGACGCCGGGCCTCTCCATTCCAGAGAGGAGAGAGGTCTGCCCCTCTCCCCACCTCCACTCCCACGCCTCAATCTGCAGCTTCCCCTCCCCAGTGCGCCCGGCCCAGCCTGTCACCCACTCACTATTTCCCCAGCTAATGGCTCTCACACCCACAGTATGATCTACAGCCCCCCGCCCCCCGGAAGGTTTTCTTCCTCCAGAGCTGAGGACAGAGTCTTTTTTCTGTCTCGCCAGAGCTCAGTGCAAGCCGGGGCCAAAGTTGGCCTCCCTACATGCTTGAAAATCAATAATGGACTGGCAGTTGAATAAATGAATGAACTGAATCCAGAGCCCACAGTCCAGAAGCCGAGCTGCCTGGAGCCCCAGGCCTCCCTGTGTGCTGATGCTTGAAATCTCTGCTCAATTTCACTGAGATTAAAAACCAAAGTCCTCCCTGTGACCTGCAAGGCTCTACCCAACGAGACCCCATTTGTCTCTCACCCGTCACCCCCTTGTTCACTCCAACCAGGCCTTTGCACTTGTCATCTCCTCTGTCTGGAAAACTCTTTCAAAGGAAGATCCTTAGTCAAAGTCACTTTTTCCGTGAGGCTTTCCTAACTCCCTGATTTTAAATCTCACATCTCTCTTCCCTGCTTTCCTTGCCTTCAAAACATTTTGCATTCATCCGTCTCCTCCTACCACCACACGTGTGTTCACTGCTTGTCTCTAACGCAAAGGTAAGTGTGTGGCACACAGCAGGTGCTCAATAAATACTCAACAGAGAAATCAACACAGGAACTTCTGACCTCCCATCACTCCTCTCAGCTTTTACCGGGGTTTCTCTTTTTTCCTCGACCTCCCGTCTCTCTGAGATTCTGTTCCTGTATCAGTCACGTAACTTCCTCTTTGGACGTTCCCTTTGCCTCTCTCTTGGGATTTTAATATTCATGTTTATGTGTTTTACGCCAAATTTGCACACAAGGTGTCCTGGGTCAGAGACAGACTTCTCATTGATTCCTTGAGAATCAGAGGCAAGCGACCGGCTCAGAGCAGGGACGGGCACTGGCACGTATGGGGCAGCTAGCAATGGGCACCACAGCTGATGGGCAGTCAATGTTTGTCCCCCTGTGCCCGGGATGACATGATGAGGGCCAGGTCCATTAACCTATGAGAGTAGCCAGACACCCCACACGTGAGCAACAAAAATCATTTTTCCTGCCCTAACTAGGGTAGCTCAGTGGATAGAGCATCAGCCTACAGACTGAAGGGTCCCAGGTTCAATTCCAGTCAAGGGCACGTGCCCGGGTTGTGGGCTCGAATTCACATGTGGGTGTGAAGGAGGCAGCCAATCAACATTTCTCTCTCTCTCTCTAAAAATCCATTAAAAACATTTTTTAAACATTTTTATTGATTTCAGAGAGGAAGGGATATAGAGAGAGAAAGGCAGAAACATCAATGATGAGAGATCTCTCAGTGAGTTGTCTCCTTCAGGGACTGCAACCAGGGTCAGGGATCAAGCCTGCAACCCAGGCCCGTGCCCTTGACCGGAACCGAACCTGGGACCCTTCAATCCGCAGGCCAATGCTCTATCCACTGAGTCAAACCAGCTAGGGCCGTGGTCGGCAAACTGCGGCTCACAAGCCACATGAGGTTCTTTGGCCCCTTGAGTGTGGCTCTTCCACAAAACACCACGGCCTGGGCCAGTCTATTTTGAAGAAGTGGCATTAGAAGATGTTTGTTTAAAAAATGTGGCTCTCAAAAGAAATTTCAATTGTTGTACTGTTGATATTTGGCTCTGTTGACTAATGAGTTTGCTGACCATTGAGCTAAGGCAATAAAATATGTTTTTTAGAGGGGGAGGAGGCAACTGTGCCTCTGCTTAAATGTCTAAACAAATCTCCTCGGAGTCAGGAGAGCTCCTTGCACATCTTGGCGTTTATGACAAGTCTCCAGGCTCTGTCCTTGTCTCCAAGCCGTGGCTCATTTCTTCCTGATGCTTGAGGATCTTGCATGTTGCACGCTGGCCCGATTAGGAAGCTACTCCAGGCTCCCTGGCACTTGGGGCTTAGCCTAGGAACTTTGTTCAAGCTGTAATCACTTGGGCCCCTCAGGAAGAGATAAGAGTTTTATTATTTTTTTAGATTGGGCAATTAACTATACAAATGACGGCAGCCTGAATCTTCTGATATGTGTGCAGTCTCAGGAAGCTAGGGCTTTCTCCCAGAATCCAGAGAAGTTTTATTTCCCTACTGTACCTCTAAGTCTCTGATTTTCTCTCTGCCATTTTTGATGGCTCAGACTCGGCCTGGGGTTGACAAACAGGGGGGGTTAGAGGTTAGAGCGTACCTGGAGCTGGTCTCTGAAACCACAAGCCACTTCATTTTGGCTCAGGAAAGTCAACATCCCGAAGGCAGACCTCACCTGGAGTTTTCATCACTGCCAGGCTGGGGCTGAAGGGTTTGGTCAATGAGTGGGAACCCAGGACAAGGAAGAGAGTCTGCTCATTCCCTTTCTGTAGATGAGCCAGGTCTGACCTCTGATCGTATGAAGGGACATGGATTGTCTACAACAGATTGGAGGACGAGAAGGGGCCAGAGATCATGTCGAGGGGATGAGGGGAGGAAGGGAAGGAGGACAAGTGTCGCTGACCCTAAGACAGCTGGAGCCCAGAGCTCAGAGGCTGCAGTGGGGGAGAAGGGTTGTTTTGTTTTAATATATTTTTATTGATTTTTTTATAGAGAGGAAGAGAGAGAGATAGAGAGTTAGAAACATCGATCAGCTGCCTCCTCCACACCCCCTACCAGGGATGTATCCAGCCTTTGACTGGAATCCATCCCCAGACCTTTCAGTCCGCAGGCCGGTGTTCTATCCACTGAGCCAAACTGCTTTTGACAAGACTGCAGGTTTTAGCTTGTCCTAAGGGAGAGCATCCCCAGAGCTGGAGTGGTGAGTTCCGTGTGGGGTGAGAGCTCCTTGTATTGGATACATGCAACGGGAGCCAGAGCCCCCATCAGGACCACCGCAGAAGCAGGTCCTGATGCTGACACCATGAGCTCAGGAGATCACCTCCCTCTCTGGCTGCAGCATCTCCAGCTCCAATGGAAGGATAAGGAGGAGAATGGTACAGTCTGCAGCCTTGTCACGGGGATTTAACTAGACAACGTGAGCAAACACCAGGATGGTGTGCGTGCTGGCACCAAAGGGCTTAGGAAGTGCTAGGTTCAAACTTGACTCTGCTCTTTCCTTGTTGTGAGAGCTTGGACAAGTTATTTAATGTGATTCACTCGCCTGTAAAATGAGGATTATTTAAGGTTTAGGACCAGAGCATTAGATTGTTATGAAGATTCAACAAGCTAATTCATGTAAAGCACTTAGAGCAATGCCAGACCCATAGAAAATGTTCACTGAATGTTGGCAGTGGATTTCATTACAATTATTATTACTAACTGTTCCGATGAACCTTTCCAGCATCACCGCCAAATTGAGAAACTGAGGCTCAGAAACTTCAATAAGGACAAAGGCACCTACTATGTGTCAGGCCTGTTCCACACACTTCGCATTCTTGTTTTTCTATTACTTCATAATTCTTAATCCAGTGTAACCTCTTAAATCCATTTGTAACCTTATAATAACCTCATCATTATTCCTCTCTGACTAGGAGGCCATGAGGCACAAAGAGATAAAGTGACTTGCCCAATTCCTGGCAGTGTATGGGCCCTCTGGACCCAGGAGGCGCAATCTGGCTCCAGCAATCAAAGGATTATTTGTTGGGTAGAGGGTCACACCCAGAAACCAATTTACCACCAACTGCTCTGGCTCTCATCCAGGGGGCAAGGGTGGGCCACGAGGGAAGACGAGGAGGTTCTTTTCTGCCAGGGGTCAAAGCTCAGAGCTCTGAGACTTCCCCAGAAAGGGGCGTCAAGGCAGAGGTGATTACCAGGGATTCCCAGAGAGCTGCCCAAGGCCCCTAGTCCCCACCTTCCCCGCACAAACCACCCGGCAGTCTCCAGGGGTGAGCAGGCTCTGCCTCTACCTCCCTGGGGGCCCTGGGCAACGTTCAGTCCTTTTCATTCATGACACGGCAGAGCCCAGAGCGTGGCTGTGACCTCCTGAGTCACACAGCTAAGAGGCAGAGGGCCTGGAATCAGATGTGAGTGGGTCTGACACCCCTTATCTCCTGCGTGTCCCACCATTCCAGTCTTCTGAAGGTGCTTTGAAAGCCCGAGAGCAGTCTTCCAAGAGGAGGAAGTTGCTGTTAGCATTGCTGTTACTGCAATGCCTGCCCTGCTGAGGGCAGTCTGGAGGAGGCATAAGTTTCCTTATTCATAACTCTCCAAGCAATTTGTCCGTTTTTGAGGACAGACATGGCACTGTAAAATGGTGGTTGGCATCTGGGCCTTGGCGTCAGGTGGCCATGGTTCAACCTGTTTCCTCAGATGTTACCAGTGTAGGCTGCCAGAGTAATTTCTGAAAACCCCGGTTTCTCCTCTGTAAGGTGGGGCGAATACACATGCCTCATGGGGCTACTGGGAGAACCCAATGAGATATGACTGTCAGGTGCTTAGCACAGTGCCTGGCACATAGTCCATTAAAAAAATGAAAGCTGTCGTTACTATTGTCTTCACCAGCACTTATCATGGGGTTGGGTTCTAGTAGATCCTTAATACCTATTTTTAGAATAACAGAGACTCTTCCCAAACCTGGTGTCCTCCTGAGTTCAGCATGTACCATGTTCTCACAGAGCACGGGCCCTTGTCACACAGTACCCCTTGTTCCCACTGAGGTCCAGCCTGGAACCACTGCAGGGGCGAGGCGTCCAGTCCCAGGGGAGGAACGGCTGTGTGTCCCGGCCCTTGGGCCCTTCGCCTCCAGTGACATCACACCAGAGAGCTGGCACTTGTTCCGAGGCGATGTCAGGTGAAAGCCACAGCCAGTTCTCCTCTGGGTCTGAGCAGGAATGTGGCTGGGGCTGGAGCCAGGGGCACGCTGAGCCAAAGAAGGTTCCTGGGCGGTGATAGGCGGGAGGAAGTCCTCAGCTCCTCACGCCCAGGAAGCCAGTGAGAAGCCCCTTCTCCTCTGAGTCAGGACACACACTCCCCCAGATGCAATTTCCTCAGCCCCAAAGGTTATTGAAACACGTGATACTGATTTTGCTTAGAACCAAGGCTACCCCATCCAAACTAGGGTTCAAGTGAGACAGTGGCGGCCATGTGGCCAGGGAGATCTCCACTCTGAGAAGGGGTTGATTTGGACAAGTTCTTTCAACTCCATGGCTCAGACACACATAGCGTCTAAGAGTCTGCCAAATGTGAAAAGAGCAGGTTCCTAGAATCCTAGATTCTAGGATTCTTTTGTCACTGCATAGAGGCTCCAGAGGTCTGGGTGCTGAGAGGCATAGCAGGTGTCTGAGCAGGTGGGGGACAGCATCAGGGGTGGGCTGGGAAGATGCAGGCATCTGGCCGCCGTGCACAAAACATGAAGAGGCACAATAACAAACAGCCAGGAGCCGGGGACACTGGCAGTTGGGCCACAAAGGCCACGCATGGTGAGGGTGTTGGCACATGGTACTACCCAGCCCGCATGGGACAGCACAGAAGGATGGGGAGCAGGGCCCTGCTACCTTCTAGAAGCTCTTCCATACAACATGCTGTGGGTGACCCAGCTACATTTACCCCTTCATTCATTCACCCCTAAATCTTCACGGAGCATCTACTGTGGGCCAGCATTCTCTTAAGGCTCGGGACTCATGAAACTCACATTCTGATGAATTGAGAAGAATGCCAACTAATGGATGTGTAATGTGGATGTGTAATGTGTCAGGATCACATCATTAGAAGGAATGGTGCTGGTACAGCCCAGCTGTAGGGATATATGGAGTCCCAGTCCCCAACTGGGAACGAGAGCCAGAATTCAAACCAGGGACTGCCGCCTTCACGGCCACACACAGTTCTCCAGCTCCTTGAAGCTGCCTCTGTGAAGAGGCACACCTTCCAGTGCCTGGTCTCCGCCCTGAGCCACAGACCCATTGGCTCTTTGTTGATTCCACGAGATTCACTGAGCACTATCACAGGCAGGAGCTGTGCTGGGTGCTGCGGCTCTGACAGTGATTGGACAGCATGATGTGCAGGCTGGGAAGACTGATGCTAACACATGGAGTCAGCGCAGTGCAGTCACCATTGCTATGAGAGCTGCAGGGAGGAGCAGGTGTTGTGGACTACTCTGGGAGGCATGCCAAGCCTGGGCTCCCGGAGAAGGTGGCGTTTAACTTGAGACCTAAAGTCTCAACAGTTTATCAGGCAGGAGCGAGGGGACAGGCTTCCAGGCTGAGGGAGCAGCATGAGCAAAGGCTGACCGGCACGAAGGAGCTGGCACATTTGAGGAACTGCGAGGCCAGCGTGGCTGGGACTGAGACGGAGGGAGAACAGGATGTGATGCAAGACCAGGCTGGGGAGATCCACAGGCCAGACCAGCCGTGCGAAGGGCGAGCAGGGGATTCTGGGCACAGCTTGGGCTCCAATCCCCAGCTTTCCCCTGCTCCTCTGGGGCAAACCACCCGAGTGACTCCCACCCATGACTTTCCCTCCTGTCTAGCGTCTTCTCACCTATTACAAGTGTCTCCTCACTGCGTCCCCAGAACCTCGGCTCCTGGGACCAAAGCCTGGCTCTCCCGGAAGTTGTGGCAAGGTTTCAGGAGCCCTGGGGAGCCCCAGACATGCTGGAATATTTACTGGGGCTGAGAGAGAACATACACACAGCTCTTCTCCCTTTTTTTTAATGCCTGGTTTCTCCCCAGTATGTGCAGTTAGGAGCTACATGGTCCTGGCGGTTAGGATTCTGATTCTCACATCCTCTGGCCTGTGAGAGAGGATGCTAAGGTGCAGGGGAAGGTGGAGATTTCGGGGCTTCTGAATTCCAAGATTGGAAGCCTTGGCACTCCGGTAAACCGGGTTCCTGGTCCGTGCCAGCTAGTGCAAGCCTGGATTCGCGGGCACCGCCCATGAGCGCCTCCTCTCCCGACTGGTCTCACGGGTCCCACCTTGCGGACCAAATGGAGAGGGTGGGGGAAGGGTGGGGATGGGGAAGGGGGGGGTGGCGGGAGCGGGAGAAGGAACACAAGGGAGAGAGAGACAGGGACGCCCTAGCTCCCATCCCAGGGCAATGGGCCGGGACCGGGGCGGCGTCGGGGGAAGGCGGGAACCCCAGGACCCGCCCCGGAGGAGACTTCCTGGTCGGCGGCCGGCCGGTGAGCCGCAGCCGCGGCGAGGGACCCCGGCGCCATGGCGGGCACGCGGGACGCCATCCTGGACGCGCTGGAGGAGCTGACGGCCGATGAGCTCAAGAAGTTCAAGCTGAAGCTGCAGAACGCGCCCCTGCGCGAGGGCTACTCTCACATCCCGCGGGGCGCCCTGCAGCGCATGGACGCCGTGGACCTGGCCGACCGGCTGGTGAGCTGCTACCTGGATGCCTATGCCACCGAACTCACCGCCCAGCTGCTGAGCGACATGGGCATGCAGGAGGCCGCGGAGCAGCTGCAGGCCCGCAGCCGCGCCCGGGGTGAGCCCCTGCCCCTCCTTCTCCGGAGCCCCCCGCCCAGCCCAACCCCCTTCCCTGGGCTCTTTCGCTTCCCGTTCCTCCTGCCCCCATGAAGCCCTTCGGGGGGGGAGGAGGCTGCTCGCGCTCTGTCCCGGCTGGCCTCCGGACCCGAGAGCCTGGAGACCCCATAGGCAGGGAGAGGACCGCGTTTGCCTCTGTTTCCTTCCAGGCTCTGGAGCCCCGGCAGCGGGGATGGAAGCCTCTGCTCTCCGGGCGGCGGCAGTCGTATCAGGTGAGGCGTCACCCCCAACTCACCTGCCCGGGCACCTCACCAGCCTCCCACCACCCCCGCACAGCCTGTCTGTCACCTAAACGCTTGCACTGGGAGAGAGCCAACCCATCCCCTTCCCTCCCACCCACCTGCTCACCACGGGGCGGAGCCCAGCTGGGGGGATGTACACTCATACATCCATATATGTACCCTGTATCTGGAGCCCCACCCCCTCAGGGTGCTTTTAGAGCCATTCTGAAGCAAGCAGGGTTCTGCCCCAGTTCCCAGCCTGGGCGCCAGCTCACCTGCTCTACCCCTCTCTCCCCAGCCCCGCACTTCATGGACCGGTACCGGGAAAACCTCATTAGGCGGGTCACAGACGTGAACGGCGTGCTGGACGCTCTGCATGGGAGGGTCCTGTCGGAGGAGCAGTACCAGGCCGTGCGGGCAGAGGCCACCAATCAAGACAAGATGAGGAAGCTCTTCAGCTTCGCTCCAGCCTGGAACCTGGCCTGCAAGGATCTGTTCCTTCAGGCCTTGAGGGACACCCAGCCCTACTTGGTGGACGACCTGGAAAAGAGCTGAGGCAGCAGCTGGAACTACCAGGGGTTGGATGTGTTTCTTAAATAAAAAGTCAGCTTGTACTTGTGTGGGTTTTCTTGCTTCCAGCCTGGCCGCACCTGCAGAGTCAGCTACACAGCTAAAGGCTGCGGAGGCTCAGGTACAGCTCACTGCCTTTCCAGGGTGGGGCAGCAGGCTCCCCAGACTGTCACCCTGCCTGCCTGTCACCATGGCGGGAAATTCCTTCATTTGCCATTTAGTGGCTCCTCCAGTGCTGTCCGAGAGGGTCCGCCCTTGAGACTCCAGCCAGCCCTGCAGTGTTAGTTACAGGGCGTGCACACAGGGTCTGGACTGTGGGAGCCAGGTGTGTCAGAGGCATTGAACTTAGGGCACGGTGCTAGTTGGCAGAGCTGCTCTTTTGCATTTTCCATGGGAAAGAGTAATTGTGCAATTAGAGCAATTTTCAGGGGGAGACAGTAGCATCTAAACATGGAAGACCACAGCAACCAAGTAAAATTCCAGGGTTCCTTCTGGCACTGACAGCAGGAGGCTAAATTACTCCCTGCCACCCCCTGGAGGAAGGGGTTATAGTTACACTCTGCCCAGAAAACATGCTAACCAAAAAGCAAAACTTTATGAATTCTAGTAGCTATTTCTTCTTGTGATGGAATTAAAGGAAACACAAGTACATGCAGTTGGCCCTTGAACATGGGGGTTAGAGGTGCTGGCCTCCTACGAAGTCTTAAATCCACATATAAAACGCATCAGCCCTCACAAAAACAAAATAGATTCACAGTCTGACTGCTGTCCAAGGGGAGGGGAACTGTGGGGCTGAGTGAAAAAGTGAAGAGATTAAGCCCCCCCAAAAAACAAATACATCAGCCCTGGCCCGTTTGGCTCCAGTTCGAGTGTCAGCCCTTGGACCAAAGGGTCTCGGGTTCAATTCCGGTCAAGGGCAAGTATCTTGGTTGCAGGTTTCCTCCCTGCCCCTGGTTGGGGCACATACAGGAGACAATTAGTCAATGCTTCTCTCTCTGTCTCTCTTCCCTCCCTTTCACTCTCTCTAAGAAAAAAAAAAAAGTAATCAGCCCTGACCATTTTTGGCTCAGTGGATAGAGCATTGGCCTATCCACTAGGTTCAATTCCAGTCAAGGGCATGTACCTTGATTATGGGCACATTCCCAGTAGGGGCTGTGCAGGAGGCAGCTGATTGATGTTTCTCTCTATCCCTCTCCCTTCCTCTCTGTAAAAAAATAAGTATATTTTGGTTATTGGTGGAGGATCCAAGATGGCTGCTCGGGTAGACATCTAACCGCAGCAGCACACAACAATTTCAATGGAATACAAAAAAATAAGTATATTTTAAAAATCAGAGGGGGAAAAAACACCCTGGGGGAGGATTACAAAAACATCTGACACAGAAACAGTATGGTGATAACAACAGGGGAAAGGGGATGAGGGAGTAGAGGAAGGTCAAGGGGGATGAATGGTGGAGAGAGATTTGACTTGGGCTGGTAAACACACAATACAATATACAGATGATACATCATCAAACTACACTGAAACCTATATAATTTTATTAACCAACTAGTGACCGGGTGCACAGACTTGTACACATTGAAATTAATTAGAAGGTGGCCAGCGGGGCAGAACTGGGTGAGACTGGCCAGACACACCCTGGAGCCAACCTCCCAGGGTCCCTTCCAGCATCTGTGGAGGGGGAGAGGGGATCTCTCCAGCAGGTGGGGGTCCCTCGGCCTAGCCTGCAGGGATCGGACCAAAACTGGCTCTCTGACATCCCCCAGGGGGTCCTGGAGTGTGAGAGGGCACTCTGAAAGTTAGTGTCATAGTACAGGTGTACAGGGTGTGGAACACAAATGCAAGTGTGCAGTAAACCAGATTCAGAGCCAACAGTCCCCCAGCAACAAACCTACAGCTGAAGGTGCAATCATGTGACCCCACGAGGAATCGGGTTCCCTCCTCTCTGGTTTTGGGGTACATCAGCCGAGAACCGCTGCTGCAGAGTCACTGCAGCTTGCCAGCTCCTGGGTTGAGCATCTGCCCCCTGCTGGTCAGTGTGTGTCATAGCAACAGACAGGTGAAGCATATAGCCTTTCATATAGATGTGACCAATAAATGCAATAAAAAGGTTAAAAAAAAAAAAAAAAGCCCTTCACATACAGATATTCCAAAGCATGGTGTCCACCCTTGTACAACTTGCATTTGAACTGTGCAGGTCATCTGATAAAACTCCACTTATAAACTGGACCTGCACAGTTCAAACCCATGTTGTTCAAAGGGCCAACTATCTCTCTCCAGAAAAAGCACTTAATGAGCCTTTCCAGAGCCTGTTAGGGAGCCAGGATCCTAGGATGACAACCTGCATATACTTTGCACCAAAATGATTTCTAGTTAGAGCAGTGCCATGCTGGGGGTAACCAGTATGCAAAACAGGAGGCCCTGAGGAGGACCCGTGGGAGTTAATCAAACAGGGACCCAGGTATGAGGGTATATATAAGGTGATTGGTTCTGTGCCACTCAAAATGTTACACGAACCCACAATGAACAAAGCTGCAAGATCTCAATCCCCTCACCTAGATAGCACAAATGCAGTGTTTATTCCCCATACACACTCCTTCAGGGGTGTATGTAGGATCTCACTGAGTCTTGCAACATTTCCCTATTCTGTCTGGGTCACCAGAGTAATAGGAGAAAACAAGTGATTAACTGTGGGAGGAATCTACCAAGAAGGGAAAATGTGGCTACTTGGGACTCCAGGAGAAAACGTAAGCTTCCCAAAAGGTGGGAATCAGCCCCACACCTCAGAACCCCATGCTAGTCCTTTCTTTGGCCAGCTACCCATAAAATGCTGATCCAACCTTAACCCTCTTCTACCAAGTCTTCCGAGCCTTATTCAATCCCAGTTATGTTCAATCACATGTTCTTCAAGGACTTACCATTTCCAAGAGTGAATCTGTCTTCCTTTTACCGATCCTGTACTAGGTGTACCAGTTAATAGTGGATTTTGTATTAAAAAACACAATAATTTCAAGAGAAACATCAAAAGTGCTTAATTCAAAGTAATGTCCATCAATAGCTACACGTTTCCCCATCTTTTAGGTAATTTGTTGATACCATCCCAATAGAATTCTTGTTTTGAGGCAAACCATTCAGAAACTAAAATTTCCACTTCTTCATATGTCTTGAAGTACTGCTCAGAAAACGTATATGTGCCCTAGCTAGTTTGGCTCAGTAGATAGAGCATCAGCCTGTGGACTAAAGAGTCACAGGTTCAATTCCAGCCATAGGCACATGCCCAAGTTGTGGGCTCAACCCCCTGAAGGAGGCGTGCAGGAGGCAATCAATGATTCTCATCATCGATGTTTCTCTCTCCCTCTCCCTTCCTCTCTGAAATCAATAAATATTTTTAAAATGTATATGCCATTGATTGGAACAAGTTGTAATCTGAAAGAGCACGGTCTGGTGAATATGGCAGGGAGGTTAATACTTCCCAAGCAAGATCTTTTAATGTGTCTTTAACTGGTTTTGAAGTGTGCGATGGTGCATCATCATAAAGCAAAATTTTGCCATGTCTTCTGGCACATTCTGGTCGTTTCACAATCAAAGCATGGTTCAAATTGATTATTTGTTTCCGGTAGAGATCAGTATTAATGGTTTCACCTGGTTTTAGAAGTTCATAATACACTACACACCTTCCTGATCCCACAAATGCAGAGCATTGTCGTCTTTCCAAAGCAATTTGACCTTGCAGTCGACGTTGATGGTTGACCTGGATCAATACATGACTTAGTGAATTTGGGAGTCTCAAAATAAATCCATTTTTCATTGCCAGAGACTTTCTTCCATGCTGTTGAAGCAACATTTTACTGATGACTTTTGTTTTCCACTTGTCTTTCATTCAGTTGATATGGCACCCATTTTCCTTCCTTTAAAATCTTTCCCATTGCTTATAAACGATCGGAAATTGTTTACTGAGCAATGTTTAATATTTCTACAAATTGTTTTTGAGTTTGACACACATCTTCGTCCAATAATGCTTGTAATTGTTGTAAAAGTCTGCAAACTTTTTCAGTTGACCTGAATGACTTTGCCTTTCACATTAAAATCATCACTTTTTAAAGCATTTAAACCAGCGTTCACAGTATCTTGAGATAGAGCATGATCATCATAAGCTTCCCGAAATATTCAGCAGCGCTTTTCTTCAAAATAATTAAAACTTCCCACAAATGTTTTGTTGTGTGTGTGTGTGTGTGTGTGTGTGTGTGTGTGTGTGTGTTTGGGGGGAGGCACAAAATTCAACATTTCTAGGTGTAAAAATATCTATGATAACACCTTCAGCAAATTTGATATATTGTTTTGAAGCTTGTCAAAACAGCAAAATGGCATACATATCAACATCCATCTATTGAAAAAAATCCACATCATTAACCAGTACATGTGGCAACAGCAGCAGCCGAACCAGAAATCCTACCACAAATCCTATCATGTTACATAAAGCCTAAATTTAGTCAGTCTTGAAATTGCCTTTTCAACTTCACTGGCCCACCTGGTTTATGCCTAATGTCTTACCTGCTTCTAATCTATCACTTTCAAGGGCCTGAGTGATCAAAACTGATCATGGAAATGGACTCTCAATTCTAATATTAGGATACCTACTCTCACTCCAGCCTAGCCTATAAGAACCTACCCGACCTCTCCCACCTTCCTCTCCATCTACCCCATGGCCCAGCATCCCTTTTTGTTCACACCCTGTGCCTAGCACATGCTGGTCCCTTGCTTCTGAACATCTTGAAATCTACCTGTCCTAGTGTGCCCATAGGTGTTGGATGCCTTCCTCTGGGCCCCAGGGCACTCTCTATAGAATCTGTGTGTAAAGAAAACCATACTGTCATGGTGTATTTTCATACATGAGACTGAGAAATGAGACTGAGCCTCATAGATATCTTTCTACCGCAACAAGCTGACTCAGTTGGAGTGTCATCCCATACACCAAAAAGGTTGTG